GGTTGGCTGGGGACCACCAGGAAGAGTGAGGGGACGCGACGGGACTCACGTGGCGTGATCCCTGAGGGCGCACGGGAGGCTGCGGGCACCGCCGGTCCTCAGATGATGGTGGGCACCCTCCCGCCGCTGTTGTTCCGGTTATTGTTCTTCCTAGACAGATTGGGGGTGGCCATGAGCACGAAGCGCTCGTCGGGACAGCCGTACTGCAGCAGGACGTCGGTGCACTCCTGGCTGGAGGCCTGCCGCGCGTAGGCCAGCGCCGTGTTCCCATGCGCGTCGCGGGCCATCACGTCCACCCCGTACTGCAGAGGCAACAGAACCGCATTAGGGTCACGGGAGGGAGGGGACAGGGCGCCTTGTTCAACCCCGCAGGCAGCTGGGGCAGATGCGGACCCCGGGATGCGCTACCGGGAACCCGCGGGGGAGACCAGCGTCCAGTGTCCCTACCCCCGTCCCCCCTACCCCCGCCAGGTGTATTCTTTTCAGAAAAGAGTGTGCTTTTTGCATCGAAAAGCCCCTCCCCTGTGCAATAGAAACGGACCAAGGATAACTCTAGTTTTGCTATTTCTATTTTGACTTTCCAATTATAAACACAAAAAACGATCACTCTTTTGATCTCAGAGGCGATTCATTTTCATTGAAGGAAATACATAGGTAATACATAAGAGCATAAGAAGAAAAAATCACGTATAATCTCTCTCTATATTCAGAGATAATCTTGGTTAATCTTTCAGCAGATTTCCTTCTAATGGTTTTTCTTTGAATCTAAATGCATATATGAATAACTGAGATAAAACTTGCACAAATAATTTGTATCTTTTTTTTTTTTTTTTTAACTGAACTTGGTGGTGCTCTGATCATTTTCTCAGATCATTAAAAGTTATTCAAAAGCATGACATATAACAGCCATATAATATTCCTCCGTACGAACATAACTCAGTTACTCTGTCCTCGGTAGCTACACATTGTTTTTTTTTTTTTTTTTTTTTTGGTTGTGGCAGGCATGAATGTGGGGATCGAATCCTGACCAGGGGTTGAACCCAGGCCCCCTGTATTGGGAGCGCGGAGTCTCACCCACTGGACCACCAGGAAGTCCCTACACATAGTGTTTTAAAGTCGTCATTGGTCTAAATACTGCTGTGATGTACATCCTCATATTGAATCTTTCTCAGGATCTCTGATTGTCAGAGTGATGACTAGAAGGGGTAATATGAGATTAAATTACATAAATATTTTTAAGCTTCTGGATATTGAGAAAGGGTGGACTGATGTCCACTTCCACCACCATGGACGGGAGTCTCACCTCTGGTCTTCAGGAAGCATTAGCATTAAAGGACATTAAAGGAACTTTAAGCATTAGCATTAAAGGACAATTTGAGGGGGAAAGATGGCACGCAATCTGTTAATGGAACTGTGTTCCCCCAAATTTTATATGCTGAAGTCCCAACATAGGAACTGTATTTGGAGACAGGGCCTTTAAAGAGGTGATTAAGGTTAACTGAGGTCATATGGGTGGGGCCCTAATCCAATATGACCTGTGTCCTTATAAGAAGAGAAAAAGACAGCAGGGATGCATGTGCACACAGAGGAAAGGCCCTGTGAGGACACAGAGAGAAGTCTGCAAGCCAAGGAGAGAGGCCTCAGGGAAAAAAAGACCCTGCCCTCACCTTGACCTTGGACTTGGACTTCTGGCCTCCAGAACTGTGAGAAAATAAATTTCTGTTGTTTAACGCCCCCCGAGTCTGTAGTGTTTTGTCAGGGCAGCCCCAGCAGACTCATATGCAACTGCTAACGTGAAGCTGAACACTGAGGGATACTGATATCTGTGTATCTAATTCTCCCATCACAGCCATCCCAAGAGTCAGGTAAAAATATGTAGAAACTGGCATCGTGCTCAGCTGTGCTGGACAGACCCATCGCCTGCCCCTGCGGTTGGGAACAGAAGAGCCCCCAGCAGGTGACCCACCTCTGGACAGTGTCCCACTACTGGTGAGCACACACCTCCCCTCCCTACCCAGGACCCTCTCAATGGGCAGCTTTCTGCCACCCTTCGAATGGGGACCTGCTGTAGCCGAGGACCCCAAAGGCATGCAGGCAGCGGCCAGGCAGGGGGTGTGGTGGCACAGTCATTTTCTCCCTTTCTTCGCTCCATTCAAGCTGCATGGCAAATGCTTCAATAGAGATTAGAAAGATAACTCTCCCCAGCGGAAATTGATCGGAAG